GAAGGAGCGGATGGATAGAAAGACCAACTGCAGTGGCTCATGCTTACAACCCCAGACATTGGAAGATGGAAAGTTTGAAAGTTCGAAGCTAGCTTCAACAACTTAGCAAGACCCAGTCTCAAGACAAAAATGGCAGGGCTGGGGATGTGGCTCAAGCATGCGTGCGGCCCAGGTTCGATCCTCAGCACCACATACTAACAAAGATGTTGTGTCCGCTGAAAAACTAAAAAAAATTCTCTTTCACTCTTAAAAAAAAAAAGATAAAAATGGCTGGGGGTGTAGCTCAATGATCAAGTGCAGCTGGGTTCAATCCCCATAACAACAATGAAACAAAAAGAGACACACAAAATGAAACTAGTAACACAAATTGTTGAAACTTGACTAACCTTTTACTGAAAATATTTGGCCAGATAAAATCAAGTTCCGATTCTAGACATGTGGCTTTCTGTTGGTCAGTCCGAGTTTGCTACCATTTTTCCATGTACAACATGAAGATGCTTCTTCTCTAGTAGGATTATCTGACACTCAAATGAGGTGATCTATTTTTTAAGGTGCCTGAGGCCTACCGGGAACATAACAGGTGAGCAAGGAAGGGGAGCTTTCAAACTCTTAGTGACTATAATGAGAGAGGAATTCAGCAGTACACCTGGGTGTGAACCAAGAAAATCTAAGGAAGCTTCATGGAAGAGTGTCATTTTATATTTTTGTTACTGGGGATTGAACTCAGGGACTCTTATCACTGAGCCACATCGCCAGCCCTTTTCTGTATTTTATTTAGAGACAGGGTCTCTTAGTGACAGAGTCACTTAGGCCCTCGCTAAATTGCTGAGGCTAGCTTTGAACTTGCAATCCTTCTGACTCAGGCTCCCGATCCACTGGGATTACAGGCGTGCGCCACCATGCCCCGCAAGAGATGTCATTTTAAAACAGTTGAGACAGAAGAAATTGAAAGCACTCCCAGAGGGAGAAAAAGCTGAAGGAAAGGCCTTGAAACAAAAGTGAGGACATGTAAGCAGGTTTGGTGAAAAGAGGGGCCCCTCAAGTTTGTTTCTCAACATGAAGAAAAGGTCTGTGCACTGGGACCCCACAGGGAGACTGCCAGGCAAACTGAGTAGGCCCCATGGGCTATCTTAACACCTGAATGAGTGAACGAACAGTCAGACTCTCTACTTACCCCTGATACCCACATCAGTTGTTGATAGAACCCCCACATATAAACCTTGTTCATGCAATGCGAGGGGGAACTGGAGAGTCAGGCATATCAGGTTGCTTTTATTTCCTGTGCTTTCTGGAGAACCTGAGGATAAACCAGCAAGGAGTCCCAAAGCCAAAGCCACGAACAGCTGTACACACCTGTAATCCTAATCACAAATTCGAGGCTAGCCTGGAACAACTTGGCAAGACTCTGTCTCCAAAAAATAAGGGTTGGGGGTATAGTTCAGAGGTACAGCACCTTGGGTTCAACCCCTATTATCACTCCCCTAAAAAAAATAAAAAGTACAAGAAACCCCAAAGCCAGTATTGAACTAAAAACCAGGATCCCCATCCAAATTCTCTTCCCTACATAATGCAACTGAAGATTGAGAAAAACAAGACAACTCAAAGACCTCACCATCTCCTCAGTCAGGCTAAATCCTTCCCCACTCTGATCACCCCAAGTGGACAAAGTCCTCTCTGGAAACACTTCTTCCCAGAGGTAGAGGGAGAGCATAAGACAGTGAAAAGGTAAAAGGAGCCTCTCCTAGAGGCACTCTGTCTCCTCCAAAGCCCTCACTCACCTGACCCCTCCCCCAAGGTGGCAGATGTGGGAAGACCCTCCCAGGGGGTCTTTGCAGACGAAGCACAGGGTGAGTTGTCTCTACTCAGATGCAGAGTGCATCTTGTGTGCCCTTTGCCCGTGTACTGTTTTGACATGCTGTTCCTTTGCTGCCACAGCATGGATCAAGAGCAGACTTCAAGATGTTTTCTAGAACCTTTTCAATAGATTACCTATGCCCCTGCATACTCAGGAACTGCATACAAGAGTTCCAAGTTGGGGATCCTACTCCTTAGCCTCTTATTCTTGTCAAGCTTGGGGAGGGGAGGGTTTGGATTACCTCAGAGAAGCTCCAAACTCCAGATTTGTTCAGGGCCTTGCACACTAAGGGGTGTGTCCAAGATGCCCTCACAGGGCAACTCTAAACTCTGGGGATCAAATCCATGACCTTGAGCATGTCAGGCAAGTGCTCTAACCACTGATGGATGTTCCCTGGGAAGTCCCTTAAGAATCTCTAGCTCAACTATAAACAGATATAAGCTGATCCCAACCTAAATTTTTTTTCCTGTGATGCCCGAAGGATTGAATTCAGAGGCTCACAGATGCTAGGCAAATGCTCTACCACTAAGTCACATTCCCAGCCCTGGTTTCAAAATTTTGAAGTGATTATATGTTTGCTTTAAAAAACTCAATAAGACATAAATGTATTAAAAAGCTTAAATTCCCTTCCTACCCTGGGAATGGCCATGGCTACCCACTGCAAAAGTGGCTTCAGACAGCTTTACAGATAGATATATAGACCTATGACAATGGATTCTTTTGTGGGGAGAAGATACTATTAGGTCAGATATTTGGCTTTTTTCTTTTCTTTTTTTTTAGAAAGAGAATTTTTAATATCTATTTTTTTAGTTTTCGGCGGACACAACATCTTTATATGTGGTGCTGAGGATCGAAGCCGGGCCACACGCATGCCAGGCAAGCGCGATACTGCTTGAGCCACATCCCCAGCCCCGGCTTTTTTCTTCTTGTTCTTTATGATCCTCTTGCATCAAGTCTCCAGTCGCTGGGACTACAGGTGTGCAACCCTGAAGCTGGCTACATTACCTTTTTAGGTAGAACTGATCCCTTAGTGATTCTTCCTAGAAATGCTGTGTACATCTCATTTATTCAGATCTTCTTTTATGTCAAAGATTCTAATCATGGTTTTTCTTTGTAGAGATAAATGCTCATTTTTAATGGTGACTAAGAACTATGTTGAGACCTGCATAAGGGAGACAGCATGCACTCCTTCACCAGAGTACCAGGCTTATCAGCTCAAATAAGTCTGTTGAATTCATACTTCACAATGGTTTCAGATAAACAAAATAAGAAGTAGAAAGTGAGAATTCATGCAACAGCTGTCTTTAAATATTTTGTTTCCCTGGCTGGAACTGTGGCTCAGTGGTAGAGTGCTTGCCTAGTACGTGTGAGACCCTAGGTTCGATACTCAGCACCACATAAAAATAAAGAAAACAAAGGTATTGTGTCCAAAAAAAAAAAAAATGTTTTTGAAAACCCAAATCAGCATCAGTGGAAACGAGTCTTGCACATTTTAACATGCATCCAAGCATGCAGAGCTTCCAACTTTTCTTCTCTATCAATCATGCATAACAGATTATTAGTGTATTTTTAAGTTGAGCTTACTGTCATTAGTTTAACTTTTTTGGTTTTGGTACCAGGGATTGAACTCAGGGGTATTCAATCACTGAGCCACAACCCCAGCCCTATTTTGTTTTTTTTAGACAGGCTCCAAGTTGTTTACAACCTTGCAATTGCTGAAGCTGGCTTTGAACTCCCAATCTTCCCAGTTCAGCAACCCCAACCACTGGGTTATTTATTCTAAGACTGGCTGGGAATGTGGCTCAGCAATCAGGCGCTTGCTTTGTATGTGAGGCCCTGGGTTCGATCCTCAGCACCACATAAAAAAAATAAAAGTATTGTGACCAACTACAACTAAAAAATAAACATTAAAAAAAGAAAAAAAAAGGAGGGGGGTCTCTAAAAGTTGCTGAGGTTGGCTTTTAAAAAATTTTTTAGGTGTAGATGGACACAACACAATGCCTTTGTTTTTTATCTGGTGCTGAGGATTGAACCCAGGTCCTACTTGGCCTAGGCTAGCGCTCTACCGCTGAGCCACAATCCTAGTCCTGAGGCTGGCTTTTAATTTGGCAAACCTTCTTGCCTCAGCCTTCCAAATCGCTGGGATTACAAGCATGTGCCATGGCATCTTGCTTAACTGTAGCTTTCCAAAGGTAAATAAATGCTTTCAGTGATAAAATTAGTATAATTTGCACTTATATATTAAGGATGTTGCTTAGGGCTTTGCAAAGTTGCAGAGGCTGGCCTTGAATCTGTGATCCTCCTGCCTTACCTCCCAAGTCCTTGACAGGTGTTGTGCCACCATACCTGGTAGTCACATAATAAACTATTAGTCAAGTATTAAAATATTTTGCAATTAAAAAACTTTAAACACTTATTTTTATTTTTCAGTCCTTTTTAAAAAATGTAATCCTAATTTTCATTATCTTAAAACCAGTTGTTACTGAGCTACTTCAGTTTAGTAACTTTCAACTACCTCTTTTTTTACAAATCCACAAAGTGGAGATTGTGATACATCTTTGGCTATGGATTAAAAGAATGAGGTGCAGGGATTGAACCACTATACTTGTTTATATATGTATATGTGTGTGTGTGTGGAAGGGAGTCTAAATGTCTGCTATATCATGTTCTAGAAATAAATACTACCCAGCACTGGTAAATGCTACAGAAGGGTATTCATTGACATCAGGAGAAAGGTAACAAGTGTGAGGAAGAGGCCTACAGTCCTAGCCAACCAGAAAGCCGAGGCAATAATACCACTTGAGCCCCGCATGAAAAACATGATGAACTGGTCTTTAAAAAAATGAACAATAGAAACCTTATTATACTTAGTTGGAGCCTGTTCTGTACTTATAATCCTGCCTTACGTGAAGGAGGAATTAACAATTCTGGACTGTTTACCATTATTAATTCAAAAGAAACATCTTCGGCTGGGGTTGTAGCTCATTGGCACAGTGCTTGTCTTGCACGTTTGAAGGAAGTGGGTTTGATCCTCAGCACCACATAAAAATAAAGTTATTGTGTCCATCTACCCCTAAAGACATTTAAAAGTCAAATATCTTCTAAGTACACAGATGTTCAAATTCTCCAAATAAAATTCAAAACATTTTCGTGTTTGAGATTTTATTGGCTGTATTGAGAATCAGTACACAGACATTTCACTTTGTACACAATTCTTAACACACGTACCGGAAATCTAAAAAGCTTTATACTGTGATTCTTTTTCAGTTATTCCAGTGACTTTCCAGCTTTTAATTTGGAGGCAATTTTTTCTTAATAGAATATCAAGTACCAGTATCTTTGAATGTTATTACTTAGGTCCCTCTAATTCAAAACTTTGTCACACACAACATACTCAAATTTTTCATCTTTCACAGCACATTAAAAATATTAGGAAAACTAGACTTCCACAACCAAAGATGTTACAGAGTACATACGATTCTGACAGCAATGATCCAGTAGTGGTCTTCTTTAGGAAACAATTCTACTAAAAAACACAGGAATAGAAGTAATTTAAAATATTCAAGACATTAAATGCAATACTGTGACTCCAAACTGCCATTTAATATGCTTTGTATTGTAGGATATAAAACTAAACCCCCCACCTATGGAATGTTAAGCTGACACGAAAGACAGTCCAAGCCTCCCATAATTCAATATCCCACTATTTTCTGGTTGTACCCAAAAATAAACAACCAGCAAATGATTTCACTTCTAAAAAAAAATCATTTACACTTAAAAAATGGGATGAGGTGGGATTCCCTCCTTTTTAAAAATGTTTCTAGAGCTACTAAAAAACTTGCATTTACAAAATAGTTGATAAAAATATTCCTCTGGATTGTACAAGAAGGGAGACGGGACCACTGAAAAGACATGGTGTATGATTAATCAGACTTGGCTTCTTTCTCTTCTGCTTCATCAGAGGCTGGACTCTGTAAATCAAAGAAAAGAAATTAAACATCTGATTTCCGGGGCATCTTTGAGATCTTCAGAATTTAACACAGAGGTTTTAAATTAAATTTAAAGTGATGTCTAGTTAGTGTTGCTAAATCCGAGAAGGCTGTGATGTGCCTTACAGAGAAAAGGTATGGATAGCTTCACCATACAGGCATGACTTAGCCCTATTTTGTATTTTATTTAGAGACAAGGACTCCCTGGGTTGCTTGGCTCCTGCCTGGCCATTGCTGAGGCCGACTTTGCTGGCAATTCTCCTGTCTCAGACTCCAGAGCCACTAGGATTACAGGTATGCACCACGGCGCCCGGCAGTAATTTACCTTTTCCAGTTTAGCCAATGTAACTAACATAAAGGCATAAAAAAAAAATCAAAATACTTCACTTAAAAAAAAAAAAAAACTTCAAGCAATATCAGTAGTACTGAAACAAAACAAAACAAACAAAAACAGTTGCTGGCAATGTAGTTTAAGGAGTGCTTGCTTAGCATGTTGTTCCAAAGTGGGGACAGTGACATGTCTGATATACTACTTCCAGCTATTTGGGAAGATAAGGCAGGAGCCCCGTGCAGTGGCACATGTTGGTAATCCCAGCAATTTGTGAGGCTGAGGAGGATCACGAGTTCAAAGCCAGCCTTAGCAATCTCAGCAATGGCAAAGCACTAAGCAACTCAGTGAGACCCTGTCTATAAATAAAATACAAAATAGGGCTGGGGATGTAGCTCAGTGGTGGAGTACCCTGAGATCAATCCTCAGTACAACCTCCCCTTAAAAAAAAAAGAAAAAAGAAAAAAGAGGTAGGAGGACTCAAGAAATTGAGGACAGCCCAGTCAACAAATACCCAAGATTCAAGCATGCCTAGTCAATATGACAGATCTGTACACAATTTGAAAACAAGAAACTGCATACCTACATAAGGTATATGTTCATGTGGAAAGAAATTAAGCTGCATAGCGTTTTGTAAATTCTTTCCTAAAATTTTTATACCAAGAATTATGAATGAATTCTCTGTATGACTTAGATGGTAGACAGACACAGTACTGATGATACTGAGTACTTAAAATTTTATGTTCGCTTGTTTATATATATATACTTTCAAATAATATCTAATTTATAAAGAAAACCTATTATTCAGAGTAAAAAAATCAATGCCAAACACAACACTTCTGACCTCCTCGTTTTTTGTTTCTCCATTTTCTGCAGGTAAATCTTCTTTAGTTTCTTGGTTAGCCACTTCAGCCTGTTTTCCCTTTGCTCCCCTTTTCCCTTTTTGAACTTTTTTGTCTGATGATTTATCCTAAAACAGATTAGGAGAATATTCTAAGTATAAACTTCATACTTCCACTGTCTGACTCAATACGGATTACATCCATGGTAACCACTATAACAATGCTAAGCACACATCAACCTGAGTTACCTCATCCACAAGGTAACTTAAGATCCACCCCCAGTAATGAAGACAAAATATGCTAAGGATATTTATAAGAGTGTTTGCACATCAAGTCTCATTAGCCATAGGATTAAAACTAGAGCCTATGCTTCAATTTTTCAGCCACCATTACCCCTACCCTCTTTTAAGTTCTACATGACAAAACAAGCAGAAGAGCTTTAAGAATGTCTTCCCAGTATAACCCTACCAACCCACAATTTTCTTTTAAGCCTGAATAATAATCCATCTGGTAGATAATCACTGTCCTGACAAGACTGTTACCCTCACACGAAGACCATTCACCTGGAAAAAGCACCATGTTGTATGGTCATGTTGACTATTCTGCTACAGTTAATCCCTTGATATCTTTTAATGAGTAGCTATAAAATTTTATCTTTTTCATTTAGGTGTTTGAAGAATCTGAAAAGCACAGGTATTAGTATGATATTGTAAACCGAAATACTAGTTTAAAGCAATATAAAACAGTATTTTTGGATATCATCTACCAATGAAGCAGCAGCAGCTTATAAAAACTTCACACAGTTCCCTGTAAATAAAGACTGTAATAATAGTTAAGTTAGGTCACCAGTAGGTTGTATAAAAGATTCCTATGAGTACTGACCAATTACTTAAGTTAAATGGCCACAAGACATGCATGCAGATTTCACATCTTCAAAATACACATTATCATTGACTTGAAATAATAATGTTTGTAACCATTGATAGCTAAGTGGGGAATAGGGCCGTACCTCAGCAGCAGAGAGCAGAGAGCAGCCTAGCAATGAGAAGGCTCTGGGTTCAAAAACCAGTACCAAAAATAAACCAAATTTTCCTAAGTATGATGTTTCAGCTTTTGAAATATTTACTCCTAAAGAAATGATACAAGTCAGAAGCTCACACTAGAAGTAACTTGAAAAAGTGTATGCTTTATACAGTTTGATAATCAATGCACCAAGTAGTGCTTACTCCACATTACTGAATAGAGCTGGACTGTATTCAAAGACTAAGACAAAGGGTTATTAAAACTAGATATAAAAACAAAGAAACTCTTCTCCCACTTTTCCTTTGAGAAAACTTAATCGCAAGTTTTTTCCTCAAATAGGGATAGTTAGACTTACCTTGAGAAGGGGGGGAAAAGATTACATCTGCTGTCCCAAACCCACTGGGGGTAAAACTGTTTGCATCTAAAAATTTTTACAAGTAAATCAAGATATAGATAAACAAAGGGAAGAAAAAAAAAATAGAGTGAAACAAGCAAGTATTTTAGCTAACCTGTTTTTTTAAAAAGCGGATAATCAAAAAGGTGGGTAATAACGATACTTATACCAACATTTTATAACAACATTCACTTTTTTTCAGGTACTCATGAAAAGTTTCTATGGTACTGTGTGAATGGAGAACTACTTAATTGCCTGCTGGAGTGATGTATCATACTTATTACTTCCTTGCACATTTATCTTTAAAAAGATTACAAAAACATGCCTTTTATTTTTACATTCAATTCTATACAATGCTTGAAAAAACTCATAAAGCCCCCAAAACAAACCAGCTTGCCTCTTCTGACAATCATGCAGTGCCAACCTTCCATCTACACTTTTGGAAATGGAACGGGAACTCAGGCGCTATTTTCAAACACTCCCCACCATCACTCCCATCATCAGATTTACATACACCTAAGAATAACCTGTATTCTGAAAACTTGCAAACCACAATCTGAATGGTGCGTCCTAAATCTATTCTGGAGCAATAAATCATCCCGTTGACTCAAAGGCTGTTAGGACAGCAACTGCACTGGCAATAAGATACTTCTCAGAGAACACACACTTCAGATCTGCCCGCATCCAGGGTGAAAAGAGGGGATCTCGGCTTGGAAACCGTGCACAAACCCACCCGTCCTTCCTGCCGGCCGCAGTGCCAGGCTGGCCGTGGCCCTACCAGGCCGCGTCCCTGCGAGTGGGAACGCGAGGTGCAGGAGCGAACCAGTACCTGCCGCACCGCCCAGCTTCCCTCTGAAGCGGAAGCCAACGCTCCTCCAGCTCAGACTCCCTAAGCGCTGGCGGCCTTATGGGACGCGCCACTCCCCTTACCCCGCGCGAGGATCCACGCGCAGCCCCACCACCGACCGCAGGCCCACCGCGCAGGCGCCGCACCCACCTTGCCCGCCGCCTTCCGGGGCTTGGCGTCCGCCTTGGCAGGAGCAGGCTTCTGA